AGACTTCTCTACAGGTGTGTCTGTCTTTCCAGACAATGACTCAGTCATTATGCCATGAAAGTTTCTTTTATAGTGTTGCTTCAAGTTGTTGGTAGTACTTTGCTTATATGACCAAAAAAAAAAAAAAAACATAGTCTATCATTTGAGAAAGCCTGAGTGGTTGAAAGGTTACCTGTCTCTTTAAATAGAACTAAACAGTGTTGATTTAACAATAAAATCAGGAACTAAACAATAAAAGAGGAACTAAAGAGCCTCGTGATAAATGTGAAAGAGGAGAGTGAAAAAGCTGGCTTAAAATTCAACATTCAGAAAGCTAGGATCTAGTCCCATCACTTCATGGCAAATAGATGGGGAAACAATGGAAACAGTGTCAGACTTTATTTTTTTGGGCTCCAAAATCACTGCAGATGGTGACTGCAGCCATGAAATTAAAAGATGCTTGCTCCTTGGAAGAAAAGCTATGACAAACCTAGACAGTGTGTTAAAAAGCAGAGACATCACTTTTCTGACAAAGGTCCACCTAGTCAAAGCTGTGGTTTCTCCAGTAGTCATCTACAGATGTGAGAGTTAGACCATAAAGAAAGCTGAGTGCTGAAAAATTGATGCTTTTTTAACTGTGGTGTTGGAGAAGACTCTTGAGAGTCCCTTGGACTGCAAGGAGATCAAACCAGTCCATCCTAAAGGAATCAGTCCTAAATATTCATTGGAAGGGCTGATGCTGAAGCTGAAGCTCCAGTCCTTTGGCCACCTGATTTGAAGAACTGACTCCTTAGAAAAGACCCTGATGCTGGGAAAGATTGAAGGCAGGAGGAGAAGGGGACAACAGAGGTTGAGATGACTGGATGGCATCAGCGACTTGATGGATATGAGTTTGAGCAAACTCCAGGAGTTGGTGATGGACATGGAAGCCTGGCATGCTACAGACCATGGTGTTGCAAAGAGTTGGACATGACTGAGCAACTGAACTGAACTGAGTGAACAGCAAGATACTGTTGATTTATTTTAAAGCCTTCACTTACTGTTTTGCATTTCCTTCTGATATTTTTGAATTTATTGTTTTTCAGTCGCTCAGTCATGTCTGACTCTTTGTGACCCCATGGATTGCAGCACACTAGGCTTCCTGCCTTTCACCATCTCCTGAAGTTTGCTCAAACTCATGTCCACTGAGTCAGTGATGCCATCCAACCATCTCATCTGAGATACAATCTCTGGCATCTGAATATTCAAGCTAGCCCCAGATATTGGCATGAGTCCATGTAAGGGCATGTGAGGCAGTGCGTGGTAGGGGAGCTCCCCAGTTTGGGTCCCGCCAGCACTGTGGATATGGGGAATCCCTTCATGTCATTGGCACTAAAGCAAGGAGGTGGCTAGCTTATTGGTGCCCACGTGGCCCTTCCAATTCTGGGCTTCAACAGTGAGCCCACTCGAGGCCCGGATGCCCTGAGAGCTCAGGGTGCCCGTCTCTGTGCTGGCCAATTACTCTCTTGCTTAGGGCCTCCATCTTTAGTCTTCCCACCCAGCCTTTCCCATTTCGCATGGAATCATTGGCCCCCTCAGGAGAGATGACACTCTTCCTACCTGCCCTATACCTCTCAATCCGTGACGTCTGGCCACTCCCCCACATTTTCTTGCCGATGATGTCCTAGCTAGTAAAGCCAGTGGTCTTTCCTTTTCCCTTCCTAACCTGTATGACTTCACTGTGCTTCTGTTTTCTCATCTGTCAGGTAGCAATAGTGTATAGTAATAGTGTTGACCTCGTTGGGTTGTGAGGTTTTAATTATTATACATCATAGTAGATAATAGGTGCTATGTTATACATACACACACTTAGACTTCAGTTCAGTTGCTCAGTTGTCTCTGACTCCTTGCGACCCCATGAACCGCAGCACACCAGGCCTCCCTGTCCATCACCAACTCCCGAAGTCCACCCAAACCCATGTCCATTGAGTCAGTGATGCCATCCAACCATCTCATCCTCTGTCGTCCCCTTCTCCTCCTGTCTTCAATCTTTCCCAGCATCAGGGACTTTTCCAATGAGTCAGCTCTTCACATCAGGTGGCCAAAGTATTGGAATTTCAGCTTCAACATCAGTCCTTCCAATGAACACCCAGGACTGATCTCCTTTAGGATGGACTGGTTTGATCTCCTTGCAGTCCAAGGGACTCTCAAGAGACTTCTCCAACACCACAGTTCAAAAGCATCAATTCTTCAGTGCTCAGCTGTCTTTATAGTCCAACTCTCACATCCATACATGACCACTGGAAAAACCATAGCCTTGACTAGATAGACTTACACATATATGTGTATATATTTGTCTGGGACATACATAGGTAGTCACACACACATATACACATACACACATACACACATACAAGTCTGAGCAGTGCCCTGGGCAAGGCAAGCACTAGATGGGTTAATTATTACTCAGTTAGTTAGTGTTAGTCGCTCAGTTCAGTTCAGTCTCTTAGTCATGTCCGACTCTTTGTAACTCCATGAACTGCAGCATGCCAGACTTCCCTGTCCGTCACCAACTCCCAGAACTTTTGGAGCCCAAAATATAAAGTTTCTCACTGTTTCCATTGTTTCTCCATCTATTTACCATGAAGTGATGGAACTGGATGCCATGATCTTTGTTTTTTGAGTGTTGAGTTTTAAGCCAGCTTTTTCACTCTCCTCTTTCACTTTCATCAAAAGGCTCTTTAGTTCCTTTTGCTTTCTGCCGTAAGAGTGATGTCATCTAGCAACAGACAGAGGATTAATCTCAAGAATATACAGGCAACTCCTGCAGCTCTATTCCAGAAAAATAAATGACCCAATCAAAAAATGGGCCAAAGAACTAAACAGACATTTCTCCAAAGAAGACATACAGATGGCTAACAAACACATGAAAAGATGCTCAACATCACTCATTATCAGAGAAGTGCAAATCAGAACCACAATGAGGTACCATTACACGCCAGTCAGGATGGCTGCTATCCAAAAGTCTATAAGCAATAAATGCTGGAGAGGGTGTGGAGAAAAGGGAACCCTCTTACACTGTTGGTGGGAATGCAAACTAGTACAGCCACTATGGAGAACAGTGTGGAGATTCCTTAAAAAAACGGGAAATAGAACTGCCATATACCCAGCAATCCCACTCCTGGGCATACACACCGAGGAAACCAGATCTGAAAGAGACACGTGCACCCCAGTGTTCATCGCAGCACTGCTTATAATAGCCAGGACATGGAAGTAACCTAGATGCCCATCAGCAGACGAATGGATAAGAAAGTGGTGGTACATATATACACAACGGAATACTACTCAGCCATTAAGAAGAATACATAAATCAGTTCTAATGAGATGGATGAAACTGGAGTCCATTATAGAGAGTGAAGTAAGCCAGAAAGATAAAGACCAATACAGTATACTAACACATATATATGGAATTTAGAAAGATGGTAACAATAACCCTATATGCAAAACAGAAAAACAGACACAGATGTACAAAACAGACTTGTGGACTCTGTGGGAGAAGGCGAGGGTGGGATGTTCTGAGAGAATAGCATTGAAACAAGTATACTATCAAGGGTGAAACTGACCACCAGCCCAGGTTGGATGCATGAGACAAGAGCTCAGGGCTGGTGCACTAGGAAGACCCAGAGGGATGGGATGGGGAGCGAGGCAGGAGGGGGGATCGGGATGGGGAACACATGTAAATCCATGGCTGATTCATGTCAATGTATGGCAAAAACCACTACAATATTGTAAAGTAATTAGCCTCCAACTAATACAAATAAATGGAAAAAAAAAAGAGTGATGTCATCTGCATATCTGAGGTTACTGATATTTCTCCCAGCAATCTTGATTCCAGCCTGTGCTTCATCCAGCTCAGCATTTTGCATGATGTATTATGCATATAAGTTAAATAAGCAAGGTGACAATATAAGCTTTGACATACTCCTTTCCCAACTTGGAACCAGTCATATTTGTAACAACAGACTGCTTCCAAATTGGGAAAGGAGTCACTCATTCATATCCAACTCTTTGTGCTCCCATGGACTGTAGCCTGCCAGGCTCCTCTGTCCAAGGAATTCTCCAGGCAAGAATACTGGAGTGGGTAGCGATTCCCTTCTCCAGGGGATCTTCCTGACCCAGGGACCGAACCCAACTACTATTCTATATCCAAAGTCAAATCCAGCCCCCACATGGGCTGTGTTCAACTGTAGACCCAGCTATTTCTATGTACTTCTCTTTCTTACTTACTAACCTGTTCTCTAAGGCAACAGTATTTTCGATCCCTGCTGTCAGACCCTCTACTTTAAAAAAAATAACCTCTCAACTTCACAGCATTATTTTGAATTTTATTCCTATCTTTCAGAGTTTACAAGCCCCAACTAATATAAAGCTCCCATTCCTCTCTTCTTTTATTAAACTAAATAAGTCTGATTGTGTTGCAACAGCTGGTGATGGCATCTGCTTTCAGTATTTAAATCTCACTTTGTGCTTTATTTGGCGTATGTGTGTTAGTCTTGTCTCCACAGCTAGAGTGGAATCTATATACTAGATTACATATTAATTTGCCTATATCATCTGTGGTCCTTATTAAGGAAGATATTTTTCACCCATTGCCTTCAGCAGCATGAGCAGATTTAAGGAGATCCCCATTCCTACTTTAAAAACCAAATACTCTGGACTTCCCTGGTGGTCCACTGGTTGAGACTTCATCTTCCAATGCAGGAGATGTGGATTTGATCCCTGGTTGGAGAACTAAGATTCCACATGCTTCATGGCTAAAAGGCCAAACCATAGAACTGAAGTACTAATGTAACAAATTCAATAAAGACTTTTAAAAAATGGTCCACATCAAAAAAAAAAAAAACTTTAAGAAAATAAAAATAAAGACCAAATACTTTATGGACAACTTTCTCATCAGTTATAGGCATGATCAGGGGCCTCACCTGATACTAGGAATGTGGGCTCAGGGTTAATATGTGTGAACCTTTCTGCAAAACCCCCAGGTATCCGACGCCAGACTGCCTATTGTGTGAAGAAGGGTCGTGGGATGGTGAAAGCAACGTTCTGTGACCCAGAAACACAACCCAATGGGAGACAAAAGAAGTGTCATGAAAAGGATTGTCCACCCAGGTAACTGTTGGTAACAGCTCGAGTTCTGTGTGTCTGCCTACCATGGTGTCTGACTTCATAGTAATCAAGGGCTCAGTGATGGGGGAGGGCTGGGTGGCTTCATTACTAGAATAAATACAGGTAAGCTGTCACAGGTTTCTGTGGCTATGCTGTTAGAACCTGTGACAAGGTGTGAGTGGGGGACGTTTTCTCTCCAGAGAAAAGTATTTCTTACAAAGCTCATGTGATCTATGTGTAATTATTTGGTAAGACGTAAGGCCCACAGTGCTGTTGAACAGAATGATGTGTAGATTATCCAAAAATTCTTTAGCTAATTGGTTTGACTTTTCCAAGAGCAGTTTACCAACCAGTGCAATAGTAGCTTTTAGAGAACATGCTGACACTTTTGGACCACTGCCTTGAAAAGTGGACTTATAGACCAGGCTTGTTCAACCTCAGCACTGTTGACATTTGAAGCTGAATAATTCTTTGTTGTTGGGGGCTGTCACATGTTTAGCAGCATCCCTGGCTTGTGTCTGTTTAGAAGTTTGTAGCATTTTATCTTCCCCGTCCAGGTTGTGACAACCATAAATGTCTCCAAACTTTGCCAAATGTCTTCTGGGGGCAAAATCACCCTTGGTTGAGAACTGCTGTTAATAGAGGTATTCACCTGCTCCGAATCATATAGATTCAAGATTCTAGAATGCAGCTGGGATGTTATTATGAGGGGCTTTTGTTAAAGAGAGAAAGAGGGGTAGGGGAGAGGAAGAAAAAGAAAAAAGGGAGGGGAGGAAAGAAAGAATTAATTGTGGGGAGTGTTTTCATTCCCTCGTGTCCATAAACAGAGATGCATTTCATTTGCAGATCCCATCAGGCATTCATTCCAGTCCCAAGAAGACACATTAAGAAGAGCTTAGTTTAACAGGAGGGGACTGGTTGGCATAATAAATCTACCAAGTGACAGGCAGAATTCTAAAGAAGAGCTGAAAGAATGGGATAAATGCCAAATAACTAGGTCAAAAAGAAGCATCTAGACAGCTCAGCTAAGGCAGACAATGTCAGATTCTTCTGGTCTCAAACAGGGAGGTCCCAGAGGCCAGGGTGTTCTCAACTCAGAGTCAGGTTGGTTCTCTATCCAGTTCTGGGGTTTCTTTCTGGGTCGAAGGTGGGCTGTGAGGTTCAGAGCTGGACCCCATCCCCATTGAGAGAGGACAGAGGTACCACTGTCCCCTCCCCTCGCTGTGACTCTATCCTGATGTCTTTATTCAGTTTGTTACAATGTGGCCTTTGTTAGGTTTGGGGTTTTTGGCCACAAGGCATGTAGAATCTCAGTTCTGCAAGCAGGGTTTGAACCCACACCCTCTACACTGGAAGGCGAAGTCTGAACCACTGGACCACCAGGGATGTCCCTCCCATAACTCTTTCACTGGGAAGAACCAGGGACTTGAGGGGAGGATCAGGCCCCACTAGGTTTCTTATGTAATCATTGCAGTTTCTATAGATCTTTCTCAGGGAAGAATGAGCCTGAAAAGAGGAATCTTTCTTACCGCTTGCCTTATCTCACCAATAGCCTGTCCCTTTGTGGAGTTTACATGCTTTCATCATATTTTTATCTCCATAAAAGTCAATGACTCTCACCAGCCACTTCCTTTTGCCCTCACCAGCTGCCAACCACTACACACACCCATGGGAAGCTCGCCTCACTTTTCAATGTCACCCTTTCTGGTGAGTGGTTACCTTCTTAAAACCACAGCTGTTAAGTTCCTGAGTCTAACTCTGGCCCTAGGGTTCAGGGATATTTTTATTATTTTACTTAGTCTGCCTGGGCCTTACTTAATATTACCAGCAAATCTTTGTTAAACATTCATTATTTCCATGAGAGTTATGATGGCAATGATAACCATGTAACAGTTACGTGTACTGAGCACTGTGGTTTTGTGATATAATAAAAGCTATGTCTTTGGTACCTGGCTCCAGGCAGAGCTCCTACAACTCAAGGCTGACCAGCTGTAAGGCTGCAGTGGGTCGGCATACAACAGACCCCTCAGAGACAGGCGTGTACCTCTCCCCTCACTTGATTGGTGTCTAAGACAAAGAAAGCCCTGTGCTAGGTTGGTGGGCGCCAAAAGATGTTGATGCGGGTGTTCACCAGCTGAGACCAAGAGAGAGATGGGGATATTAGCTGTGTCCATAAAAGCAGCGTAGTCAGAGAAGACAGTGGAGTTGGTAGCCACTCTCTGTTTGAAAAGAGTCATCAGTCCATATCTGACATTTTCTCAGTCACCTGTAACTAAAGTCTTGGCCTCACTATTTTCAGGTTTCAGTTCCCATAAGGGTGGTTATCTTTACCTATCTCTGTACTCTAACTACCAGAATTTTCTAGTTGAAGGTCATCCTATAAGATACCACCAGTGCCAGAAGGAGATGGATACTGGGGCCAAAGTCCAGAGGCTAATGGATGGGAGATGAACTGAAACTGGAGCCTGGTAGACACAAGGAGGAGCCTTGACAGCGGAATTCCAAGTGATACAGGCTGAACTCTGGGGACTGGAAGTTGGCCCTAAAGGGAGTCATGTAGTAGCTATAAACTAGCCTCCACGATATCCACTTCCTGGTCCCTGGAGCCTGCAAGTGTTACCCTATTTGGAGAAAGGGCCTTTGAAGGTGTAATTAAATTGAAGGGTCTTGAAATGGGCAAGTTATGCTGAATAATTGATTTGGATCCTAAATTCCATCATAGTATCCTTATAGAAGCAGAGGGAAACTTTACACACACACACACACAGGAAAAACAATATGAAGGGGGGACAGAAAGATTTGAAAACACTGGAGTGACGGGCCACAAGCCAGAGAGTCCTGGCAGCCACCACAGACTTTTTTTTTTTTTTTCCATTTATTTTTATTAGTTGGAGGCTAATTACTTCACAACATTTCAGTGGGTTTTGTCATACATTGACATGAATCAGCCATGGAGTTACATGTATTCCCCATCCCGATCCCCCCTCCCACCTCCTTCTCCACCCGATTCCTCTGGGTCTTCCCAGTGCACCAGGCCCGAGCACTTGTCTCATGCATACCACCTGGGCTGGTGATCTGTTTCACCCTAGATAATATACATGCTGTTCTCTCAAAACATCCCACCCTCACCTTCTCCCACAGAGTCCAAAAGTCTGTTCTGTACATCTGTGTCTCTTTTTCTGTTTTGCATATAGGGTTATCATTACCATCTTTCTAAATTCCATATATATGTTAGTATGCTGTAATGTTCTTTATCTTTCTGACTTACTTCACTCTGTATAATGGGCTCCAATGACCCAATCAAAAAATGGGCCAAAGAACTAAACAGACATTTCTCCAAAGAAGACATACAGATGGCTAACAAACACATGAAAAGATGCTCAACATCACTCATTATCAGAGAAATGCAAATCAAAGTTACAGTTTTAGATCCGATGCTGTGGGTAATACTTTGAAACCATCCTTGTGGGTCTAGCCTGGATAATTTGTTCAGCTAAAGTTTCCAAATTAGTGGAAGAGGGCAGATGTTTAGAAAAAGTTTCAAAGATTTTCTTTTGCAGTAATTGTACATTCAGAGAGTCATTATCATGTAAATGAAATTTGATTTGTTCCCAGCTGTAGGTACTATGATTGAACTGGAGTAACACAAAATTGGCAATTAATGCAAGTTACAGCACATAAAGTCTTATTAAATTGTAAATTCCTTATGGCTATCACAAAAGCAAGTGGGACACAGGCCTGTACGACTGATTATAGCACAAGAAATAGTTACTATGACCACGACTGGCCCCTGTGAAATGTCCGGTCCGAGTCCCAAGTTCTCTGGTGCTGGCAGCAAGTTTCCATATGTTTTATATGCCTATAGTTCAGGCCCAATTTGTTTATTGAGGATGGAGGAGGAGGGTGTCATTCCACTGTCAAGCCAGCCAAGAAGTCCTTTGTCATGGTAATGTTTCAATGTAGTGTTAGTAACCTTTTACATAATCTTTTTTGTTCTTTCCCTAACTCTTTCCCTAAAGTTTTAGTAGAAAACACGGTTCACAGACAGAAAAAGGGCAGCAATGTCCGCAAGTCTTCTTTTGGAGGTAGGACGAAAGCCCAAGTTTGTCGGCCGACATTTATGCATAATTTTGCTGGGCCCATACACAAAGGAAGGACTTAATAACCTAAAGAAATGTTAATTAGTTGTCCCTCCTCCCCAGGGTGTGTGGGTTCCAGGGAGGGGGCATATGGGTGGAATCATTGGTTGATTCGCTGGGTCTTTTCTCCGTCCATTTTATGACCCGTGGAATCCAACTGGCATTTGTCACCAGGATCAGAGGTACCAATGGTGTGAGCCCAAAGGTCCAGAAGGTGTGGCAGCGTCTTTGCCACCATCAGACCTTCAGTGGCGCCTGTGTGAAGCTCAACATGGCTTCAGCCAACATGCTGAGGACTGTGGAACCATATGTTGCATAGGAGGGGTACCCAAACCCCGCCGAGTTCCCCACCTCCAGTCGGGGACCCCACAGCTCCTGAGGCCGCCGTCACAGCTTTACCTTCCCCAGCGGCAGCGGCAACTCGCCACCACAGACTTGAAGGTGGAAGGAATGGATCTTCCCTAGAGCCTCCAAAGAGAGTGCAGCCCTGCCAACACCTTCACTTCATCCCAGTAGTGCTGACTTGTCTCTCTGGCCTCCAGAGCTATAAGAAACTAGATTTCTTGTGTTTTTGCCACCAGGTTTGTGGTGCCCTGTTTTCCAGCTGCCCTAGGAAAGTAACACAAGCAATATACTAATTAATGCCAGCATAATGTAAAGTGGGAGCTTCCCAGGTTGCCCAGTAGTAAAGAATCAGCCTGCCAATGCAGGAGATGCAGGAAATGCAGATTCGATCCCCGGTTGGGAAGATCTCCTGGAGAAGGGCATGACAATCCATCCCAGTATTCGTGGCTGGAGAATTCCATGGACAGAGGAGCCTGGCCTGCTGCAGTCTATGGGTCACAAAGAGTCAGACACAACTGA